CCCTCCTGGCTGCCTCGGGACGGGCAAGCTGCCCGCGAGAGGGGGTCGCTTCTCCCCAAATTTCTCCTCTGCCCGATCCCAGCTCCCAGCAGGGTCTCACGTCCCCAGAACTGAACCCGCCTTCGTTTCACAACTGCCGTCCTCTTGTCGTGACTCCTCTGCCGCTCGGGTGAACCGGGCGGGCTGGCGTGGGCTGGAGCTGCTGGGACCACGGCTCCCAGGCGTGTGCCAAGAGCTTTTGGGGGAGAAGCTGGGGGCTTGCTAATGCATCAGGCAGAGCTCTGCAAACCTCTGCCTTTTCCCTTCCTGGTGCAGCTCAGGAGCCAAAGCTTGAGCTGATCATGGCCGCGAGGACGCGGGTCCTGAGCGACGGCTCGGCACGTCGCGCTGAACCCGAGCAGGTGAGGGGAGGGTAATCCTAAACCCCTGCCCAAAGAGCAGAATGCAGCACGTCCTCCAGAAACACGTTGCTCCAGACCAGATTTTGGCCTGTTTTTGAGAACACAGGAGGCTACGTGTCCTTTTGAGGCGGACCGGTGGGGTCAAGCTGCGTCACCCCACCTCCGTGGCTTTGAGTCTTCCGAGCAGAAGCATTGGAGAGGCAGCAGAAAGAGCCAGGGACGGGGGTGAATCCGGAGCGGCTCCCCAGCCCCGGCACGGATCTGCCACGCCGGAGCACAGGGCGAATAGGCAATAGCCACATTCATCTTAATGCCCTCCGCTCAGAGATGGTGGCATTATAAATGTGTCCTTTGTACTTCAGGCAGCTAATTAAAGGCAGTCCCATGGCAAGGAAATAAGAGAAGTTTATAAAAAACATTTGCATGGTTCTTTTTAATCTATACTTCTCCCTCCGCAAGCCAGATGAAGAAATGCCGGGGTTTAACTGGGCTTGCTCATTTAAAAATAAAAAGAGAGCGAGCAACAGAAATATCACGTCTTGTACGCAATTTCCATACAAATAGGAACTCATAAAAGCAATAAACATCTTTGTTTCAGACATAATTTTTTATTAAATGGGGGAGAATTAAATGATTGCACCAAGGATGGAATATGGCCAAATGGTGAAACATTTGTTTAGTATTAGGACAAGAAATCCTTGTTTTCTTTAAGGAGCTCAGTGTGTCTTCTCCTGCCCGGCTAGATTTGGGTGAGTACTGCAAAACATTCACGAACGCTCATTTAAATTCCTTATGGCTTTGGGGGATTCAACCGCATTCATAGTTTTTGTTTGCTTTTCTAGGCACATCCATGAAAATGGGTGTTTGTTTGCACAAATATTTAAGGAATGAAACGAAAAATCCCAAAGGTATTCACTAGTTAGTCTGGAAACTTTTTTTTTTATCGAAAAGGGATTTTTCGGCTTTGCGACGGGGCGGGCGAAGGAGCCCCACGTGGGAGAGCGGCACCAATCCCCGCTCGCATGCGCTGGATTCACAACCGAGGAAAACATCTGGCGGGGACTGAAACAAATTTGCCTCCAGTTGACGAGTTTGGGGATCTAAACCCCCTTTTTGGCGGCCAGCGCCAGCTTGGCCTGGGGGCTGCCTTTATGTCTCCTCATTTCTCTTGGAGACCAGCCAGAAGTTGTAAGATAAACTGGGCTGAACTGGGAGAGACTCTCCCCCGCTGCTCCCGATGGCTGAACCCCGCGGTCGGTGCCAGCCTGAGCTCCCGGTGCAGCACGTGGGACCGGACTGAGCCGTGGCTGTGCTCCTCTGCAGGGCTGCCGAACACTTTTCTATTCTTTTTTTTTTTTTTTTTCAAGGGAAAAAAATAACTGTCTTTTTCTGCTCCATCCGAGCCCCTGCAGCTTGGCACCTGGGTCTGGCCGTGCCCTCCTGGGACCTCCGGAGCTGCCACCCTGGTGGCAGCCAGTTGCCTCTAAGTCATCAAACCACAAATGTCACATCCGTGAGTCAGTTCTTCACTACCGATGGCTATCGGGACGGGGAGGCCTCAGCCCCAGGGGCTGCTTTCTCAACAGCCACCGCTGCATTTTCAGTGGAAACCTGCAGGGACGGTCACAGGGTGCAATGCTCGGCGGGGACGGCCATGGGGTGCGATGCTCCATGGGGCCACCGAGGGAGGAGTGAGGTGCCTGTGGCTCGGATGCTCTCAGACCATTCAGCTGAGGGTTGGGAGTTGTTTTGCCTCGGGGTGAGCCCTACGAAGGCTTGCTGGTGTCACAAGCTGGCTCCTCTGCTTGGGATGTCCATGCCGGGCTTGTTCACCTCTCCCTAGCTCAGGTCGCTGATGTTTGATGTTTTTTTCCTTGGCCTTTGTAAATCTAAAAGCGCACAGGAACGTCACTGTCCGTCCACGCTCCCCAGTGAAAACGGAACGGTGTTACATCACTCTTTTTGCCTCTTTCTCCATCATGTTGGTGTCCTTGTGGGCAGCTGCCCTCGCCCCGCCGCCTTCCCCAGGTGGCTTCATGCCCTCGCACAGGATGCAAAGGGCACTGAGCCGCGGTCCTGGCATCCGAGGAGGGAATTTCACTCTTTATTTTGCAAACGTGCGAATGTAGGCATGCTCTCAGCCCTGTTTGGCCGTGATGCAGTGCTCGGTGCTGCTCAGAAGGAGCTGGGGCTGATCCTGGGGTTTAGTCCCTGCTTTGCTGCTTCTCCTGGGCTCTTGGGGTCCTCACCCCTGGCTGATGGTGGCACTGCACCTTCTTTGCTAAAGGGAGGGGCAGTCCTTGGGGGTGCGGGGAGCCTGAGGGTCCCTGCGGGCCCTGCACAGCCTCATTAGCCTAACGCGCAGGCAGGGTCCTGCCTAAAGCAGGGAGCGTGGGGGCTCAGAGGGTCCCTGCGGAGCTGGGAAGGCAGTGGGGCCGTGGCCCTGTGCAGGGCAGCCTCGCCAGGGGGGTCTGAAATCCCCCTGAGAACATCATCCACCTTGTAGGGAAGAAAGGAGCCATGATCCTATGGGGGACCCACCCCATTCCCAAAAGGTGGCAGCTTGGATGGACGAACTGACCTCTCCTGGCCCTGGCCCTGCCCCAGCAGGAGGGAACCCTGTGGTGGCAGAGCCGGGGCTGCTCACCTTTGGCTTCTGAGAGTGGGCAATGCCGGCTGCCCTGGTGCGGCAGGCAGCCGTCATTTCTTCTCTGGAAGGCCGCTGTGTCTGTGCCTTTCCCCCATTTGCCACGAGCGTGGATTAGTCAGAGTTTCGCAATTGCTGCGCTGGGGGCTGAGATCTTGGGCTGCACCCGCGTACCAGGGCTGGCACATCCCGGGGTGCGGGGAGGCCACCCCGGTGCTCCAGCCGTGCCCCGGCACCATGCCTCTCCTCGCTGCACCCCCAAGGCACCAGCGGCTTTCCTCGCCCGCCGGGGCGGAGGTGATGGCCCCGGCTTGCCCCAAGTAGAGGTTTCTTTTTCCACGTTTCCCGTAACCGGCCACCGCAGGATTCCCGCTCGGCAAACTTCCTTTTAATGGATTTCTGTGTTTCTTCCTAACCACAGAAAACTGTAACCCTGACAGTATTTAGAGTCGGTTTTTCCTCCTCCTGCCAGGCTGTGCTCTGGGCAATGCCTCCGGTGGAGGCTGGGTGAGCAGGCACCGAGTAACACCGTGCGCGTGTAATGGTGTCCCTGAGCTTTGCCGGCGGCTTTCCCTCACGGCAGGTGTTTTGTCTCATCCGCTACCACCCAAGGTGCTTTTCTTTTTTTTTTTTTTACATATGGGTAGCTAAGCTCCCCACCAGCACGACAGCAGTGCATCTCACCGGGGCTCTGCGGTGATCGGGTGCTGGGGTGGAAGACATGAGCACATGGACCATGCCTGCCTGCAGCCAGACACCTTGTCTGGGTCTGCCGGTGGGAGAAGCAAGGCAGAGCCTGCGTGCTGGGGAGAGGAGGCATGCCCCCGTGGATGTTTGCACGCCCGTGAGCATTGCACTCCCCA